CTATGCTAGTTTCTTGTACAAGCCGTCTTTCTTCTCATAAAATAATTTGTGAATAAATATTTACTTAATGTGACAGCAGCATTATGCATTGTAAAACATCAAAGTTCAGGAAGTATATGGTCATGAACATCTTTTACTTTTTGTGTCACTTACAGTTCATTAATTTAAAATAGCACATTAGGTAAAGGTTTAGGCAGAGCTACATACTTGATTATTGACATGACACTTAAAAGATTTAATACATAAATTTGACATAATCCCTTGCAATTAATGCTCATTTTAGACAGCGACTAAAGTTTTAGAAAAATGTAGCTTAATCCTAATCCAAATCCTGACTCAAACCCATCAATGTATTACACATGTCAAGGTTTTGTCATAATCTCCGTTATGCTTCTTTTATGCTTATGCTATACTCTAGTAATTTTCTGAATTTCTTATTGTTTTTATTTTTCTCTCAGGTCCGCTAACAGTATAGTGCTGTTTTTTAAGTAAAAAAACAAAACAAGCAACAAACAAACAAAACACACACACACAACCACACACACACGCACGCACACACACACATATATAATTTTTATTTTAACTTTCTTTCTTTCTTTCTTTCTTTCTTTCTTTCTTCCTTTGCTTGCTTTTCAGCAACACTGAGTGCTGTGACCTGGTGCTCATAAACCTACTGTGGTTTGCTGTTGTGTCAGATACAGTTTTTATTCTTTATTAACTGTGAAGTCTGCATCACATTGTTACACAAAATAATGTGCTGAAATAAACAGCAGTAAACCTAAGCCAAGTCGGCACAACATTTGCCATCATTATACTACAAGAGCTCTTCTGTTTTCAAGGAATAATAGTACATAATGTAACTCCTTTTCTCCATGGAGGCTACACCTGAAGAAAGTTGCTAAATTCATTTTTGATGTTTAATAAAAACTTGCTACAACTTTCAGAACTCAAAATTTTCTCTCTAACACCAAAAGAGCATTTTGGTGGCTGGAGAGGACGTTTCAGGTTCTGAATTTTACAGTATATTATTATAGTACATCACGCTATTTTATGATGAACATTTCCCAAACTTTTTCAGCCTCAATGTTGTCTGACCTCTCTCAGCAGTGCGGTAAGCAGCATCTTTGTCTGGCATGATGCCCAAAACAGCATCCAGGATGCGGGAATGCAGCATTCCACACATGCCCAGAACAAAATCATCAGTCTAATTAAAGAAATAGTTCTCTTAAAAACAAAAATTCTGTCATCATTCTGTCAATCTAAACCAGCGTGACTTTCTTTTTTAGAATTTGAAAGTCATATGGGTTTGAAATGACACTGATGGGTAAATAAATGACGACAGAATAACAGTTTTCCTTTTAGTATAACGATTGCTTTAACCAATGGAAGTAAATCAGAATTCAATTTTTATAAAACCCAGTTCAACTAGAACTTAGTAACTGCATGATGATGTTTCAATTCAGAAAGTGTTGCGGACGCTTTCCTTAGGATTTTTTGTGGAACAAATTGTTATTATGTAGTTTGTGGTTTAGTGCTAGTCTTTTTTTCAG